TTTATTATATATATATATATATATATATATATATTGGGAATACATCATTAGCGGATATTTTTCTCTGTGAACGAATGTTCCAAATGGATAGATAGGATACTTTGTCAACGTTCGATAGATGATTATCTTTGAATAGGCAGCGATGGACTGATTTCGTTTGTATTTTGATTCACGCTTTAAAATCGTATTGCAATGATTTCCTATGGAAAAGTTTTCAATATATCGGATTTTGTTTTTAAAAATATTTAATTACTCTATTTGTTACGCTACAATCTAGATGTCTATAAAACAAAATGAAATATTCTTAACATTTTGAATTCTAATTGTACTTTTCTCAAGTATTCGATTAATTCAATATTATATCATATTAAAAAATTATTGTGATATTTGGGAATACAAATCTAGTTAGAGCAATCAATTGATCTAACAATTATTATCGATTTTATTATTATTATTATTATTTAAAAACGATTTTAAATCTTACACTCAAGCATCGCTCAAGAATTAAAAAAAAAAAAAATGAATGAAAATGAAAAGATCAGAGGACAAAAAGTCAATTATTTAAACTTTTCCACAAATGTTATTTTATCAAATCAATCAACAATATCAATCTTCGACAATTAAATTATATTATCCACAATGTATTTACAAATATCAACCGCTATATTCGTCACGATCAAAATCAACACCAATCATCCTCTTCCCTCCCAATACAAAACCCACCATCCTGTTAAAAATCTCCACAAATCCCATCACAATCGGCATATAAATTCAATTGCTTTGCCAATTATATACACCATCCAATTAAAATTAGATCCCGTAGGGAATCGAATAAGGCACCATATGGGTCGATGAAACGCAAAGAAAGAATAAGTGAATTTCTGAGCAGGTGAGTATTTATTTCATTACAAGTGAAAGAGCGTATCTACGGGAGACACAGAGCAAAAGAGATAAAGCAAGTGAACCGAACATGTTCGGGATAGAGAGAGGGAGAGAAAGAGAGAGAGAGAATGGGTAGTGGGGGAAGCGGTGAAGAGAAGCCGCAGAAAGCCCGTACGGATCCTGGTAATATCGCGAAAAGTGTTTGCTCAGCTTGTCTCGACCGAGCTCGGAGCATTAAACCGCGAGAGCGTTCTTTCTCGTCTCCCCGGGATCCGGGGAGAGCGATACCGACCTCTCCAATGTGTACACTTCTGCTCCCGATTATACGTTGCGAGCCCGAAGGGCTATCTCCTTCCTTTCCACCGTGGTGAATTTCGATTCTGCCAATTGAGGCGGCGATCAGTTTCCATGTACTTTGTCCCTGTCCCGGCGACAATTTAACTAACAGCTCGTGGAAACACGAAAGGATGCACTGTGGATGTTTTCACGAGAGCTATAGGAATGGATTTGGTGATATGAAAAAGAAAATTTTTGAAAGCCAATAACGGGATAGGATGTATAAAATTTTCCTGTTGAGAATTTCTGCTTCCGAAAGAAAGAAGCACCTCTATTATATTACGATAATATCAACGAAGAAAATTTTAATTTAAAAAATCCCAAAATTTCATAAAAGTAATAGAGAAGCTTCTATGAAAAAAGATTCTTAAAAGATATATATATATATCCTTACATAACCTAACATTCAAAGTAACAAATTCAATTTCCAGTATCACGTTAAAATTTAATTTACCTCGTTTCATTTTTTTCGCAAAAGAAATTGTTTTAAAAAAATAATTAAACTTTCAAAAATATTTGTTTCTTCTCCACAAATTCTAATCTATAACCTCGAGAGATTCTCGATTTCGGCGATAATGTAATAATTAAACATTAGAACACGGTAGATTTTGCGATATTGCGATATATGAGGGATGACATTAAGGCAATCGGTATTATTATTATCAACAATCACGACAATGATACTAATAGCTATGCAAACGACGATTACGGTAGTAGTTGTTGCTTTCGATCGCGATACAATGGGGTAGGAAACGAAAGGGGATAGAGGGGAGCCGCGTCTGTTAACTCCGGTTTGAAGCTGGCGGCCTCTAGGGAAATGTGCGTAATCGCCATGTCCCACTCTGAATTGGTGGCGACGCATTCTTGCCCGGAACCAAGCCTGTTCCACGCTACCGTGTTATGATGACCCACGATTAACTTCAACGACTATCCTCTCTTCCTCCTCCTCCTCCTCCTGCTCCTGCTCTTTATCTTTTGTTATTTAACTCTCTTTGTGTTTTCAGAATTTGTTTTAATCTTCGAAAATGATTCGAAATGAAGGAGCTTGTAACGGAAATCCACATTTCACGATTTTTGAGTTTTAAAAAAAAAATTTGTTCTTTTCTTATAGCAGTGTTCGATTTATTGATAATAAAAAGATGATTCAGAGAATGGATAATTCAATAATAAATTAAAGAAAATTGGCAAGAATTAAAGATAAAGTTGAAATAATTTTTTTTATGGAAATGGAAATTTGAAAGAATAGAATCAAAGCTCTAGTTTTATTTATGAAAGAGAAGTTTTTATATCGGTAAAAATAGAATTGGAAGTCTAATAGCTAATGAAGAAATCACGAAGAATACGAAAATCTTCGTTCGAGTGAAATTATATTTTTCTATCATCTTTAAATAATTCTCTTATAATTGTTTTAACTGTAAAAATATTTACTTCCGATTGAAATTGGATTATTATTTTTCTTTTAATCGGTTTCTTTTTATTCGAGAAGAAATTTCTTGAATTTAAATTTTATAATATAAAAAAAATAAATAATATTTATCCAGAGCTTTGTTTAATCTTCACCTTTGTGTCTACACAATTCGAAGAAGAATAATATCAATTCTATCGATTCGAAATCGTAAAATCAATAATACGAAATCTCGAGTTCCTTTCCAGAAAAATCATGAAATATACCGCCATCGAAGAAAAAAAAAATTTTTCCACGATATGAAAATATATTCTAATGTTTACCGTATACATACACTTTTCCCATTACACAGATCGTTCTCCCTTCGAACGAGAAAGAGACGTAAATTTTTTTCGTCAATACGGCCAGAGAACGAAAGAAAAGAAAATAATACACGGTGACTTGAAATTTTCCCATCAACTTTTATGGGAAAATATGTTTTATAAAATGTAAACTTTATATACGTACGATCAAGTTATAGGTCGCAGATAAATAAAATTACTTTAGGTTCTGTGGATGAAATTGATACTTCATATTATAAATTTCAATTTGCTTTTCAATGCTCTTTTCACGCAGTATTTTAAAATAGGAAAATGTAAATAGAACAAATTAACATTAGAACGACCAAACCCGTCAAAATATCGACGAATCTCATATTTTACGATTTTAATTAAAAACACAAAAATATCTTTGACAAAATTATATATATATATTGTAATTTTAAAAAATAGTATATATATATATATATCTACTTGTTAAACAATTTTAAAATTATTCATACCATTCACACAAACAATTAGATTCGTATAATGTGAAGTTTGTGTATCACAAACACAACTTCGTATATAATAAACCTAGTAGATTCAACGCTGGTCGATGTTCCACGGACATCGATAATTACTAAATTTATCTCGCAGGTGTCTCGTTTCGTATAACGAATACGACACCACTCCTCCCTCCGTCCCCCACCCCTCATCCTTTCCCCATATAATATTCCTTTCCCTTCGTTTCGAATTCACGAACGAATAACAACGAACGTCTGCACGGGATGGAACCGCGGGACACCGCGGGAAGAAAGAGGAAGACAGTTCGATCGAGAGGGAAGAAGAGTGGGCGAGGGTCGAAAAAGCGAAGAGAGCGAGCAAACGAGCGACCTGTACGTATACGGGCCACCAGCCAGAATAAAGTGGAATTCAGCACAACCTGAATTATAAACGATATTATGCAAACACCGCGGAGAAAGAGTACCTCGTACCGCGAGAGTTAATTGATGAAAAACATCAGAGAGTGGCCATGGTGGAGGGAACAAGAGGGGGGATGAACCAAAGAGAGAAATAGAGAGAGGAAAGAGGAGGGAACAGGCAAAAGACGCATCCCGGGAAGAGATCTCTCCTCGAGGAGGAACACAGCCTCTTCATCCAGCTTTTCGACTTCACTCTTTCGACGGGGAGCCCGCTCTAATCACTCGTGGGGGGATCGTGATAAACCACCGGTGGTCACCACCCTTTCTCTCGTTTTTTTTTTTTTTTATTCTATATTTATATTCTCCTTCTTGTTTGCCTGCCTTGTCCTCGTCGAGCGTGTTTTGGTAATTTTTTGAACGGTGTTTGGTTTGATAAAGAGGGGAATTTTGCGGGAGAGTGAGGGACCAGGTGTTTCATTTTGAATGGAGGAGGAACGAATTTTTTTTTCTTTTTTTATTTCTCCTTCGTTTAATCTTGTTTCACCATCTATTTGATTTGTTTGATTTCTTAACCAGTCGTCTTCTTTTTAATTTAACAATTTTCTATGAATTTATCGTTCGTAAACGATTTTTTTTTTTTTGACTAATTCTATTTTTTTTTTTTAATCGAATTAATTGCGTAGCATCGTTCAATTTTCGAGATTATTTAATAGTTTTCTTCTTTCTTTTTCTCCCTGGTCTTCTTTTTTTTTCTTAATTAAAAGTACTTGATTCGTATTATTCGAAGGCGCGGATGCAAAAAAAAAAAAAAACTTTAGATCTTTAAAACTTTAGATATATATATCATGCAAAAAGGGAATTCGAATTTTCGTTCAAAGTAATATCAAACCTGAGATGAGATCTTTATTCGAATTATAACTTCATTTAATTTAGGATATCTCCATCTCGTCGTGAAAAAGGATTAATAAATTTTGCATATAATGTAACAAGCATGTATCCGAATCTTGATAATTTACGAGTGGTGACGTTAACTTAACCATCAAAAATCAAGTTTCCAACCCCCCCCCCTCCCTCAATGTAACAACGAAAAATAACCACATCGATATTCGTAGGACTGATTGAATCAACAATCCGATCACGACTTGCTTTCATCCTTTTTACATCATCAGAGATACGGATAGCGGGGTACGTCGGTCACCGCTCCCCCTCCACCCCCCCCCATACCGTGCAGGGGGGAGGAATGGCGGCAAGAAGAAAAAACAAATCCGCCATATCTCGCGTGAATCGAATCGCGATCATTCCTTCTCTTTCTCTCTCTCCAATTAACCTCTCTGCCTTTCTTTCTCTTCGTTGTTATTTCTTTCGGTCTCCCTTCCAATTTCAACTACATATCAATTAGCCGCACTACATCTAGCAGAAGATTAAAAGAAAGAGAGAGGAACGAAAAGAAAAATTCTCTCCTCGTCATTATTCCCTTTCCTCTCGTTCTTCTCTTCGATAATTGTTAACTACACCGTATTCCAGAAAAATGAAATACACATTGATCAATATTTCTCTTAACTTGGAACATTAAAGGCAATATTTATATACATGTAAATATGGTTGACTTTAGTTTTCGAGTTATTCGCAACAACAAAAATTTTGAATTTTACTTTTGAATTCAAACAATACATCTTTGAGAGAATGTAAATATAAAGATATCTAGAAATTATTCTACAAATAATAAGACAAAAAGGAAGATTTCATTTTATAAATCCACCTCGATCGATATTCCCATTAAAAAAATGGACAAAAGACCCGATATTTTCCAAAGAATCTACCAAACGTTCAATCTTGTTCGCGATACGTTCGATCTCGTCACTAGGCCGAAAGCCGATTCAAAAAAAAAAAAAAGGAAAAAAAAGAAAGAGAGGAAAAAAAAAGGAAATCATCCATCCGTCCACTCGCGACACACCAGGGCCATAGCAATAGGAAAAGAGGAAAGGTGGAAGTGGAGGAGATATACAGCAGGTAGGGGGAAGACGGAAGAAAGAGGCTCGGTACAATCGTCGACACGGTAAATATACGAAGCGCACGTGCAACCCTGCCAGTAATCGAGCCACCACCGCCAATCTCGGCTCTTTGGGGGCGGTTCTTCGGCGTACGGGGGTTGGGGTGTGCTGAACAGGGACTGGCTGGTTAGCGGCCGTCTGGAGGAGGAAAGGGCGGTAGGAACTGGTGGAAAAAAGAGGCGATGCGACGGTGGTGAGGCGCGTGACGCTACCAGGAACCGACTCCCGGCGTTCAAATCACGGGCAATCGCGACGCACGATGGTCACCCCCTTAGATTTCCGCGTTTATCTGAAGGGGGAAAATAGAATGTTCCTCTAGTTTCATTTCGTATAAACGTGAAACACGTACGAATGGTGATTATTCATTACGGGTGATTGGAAAATTGATTTAAGACGTAAGGGTGATTTTGAGAAGAGAGTCTTATTACCCATCATCTTTTCTCGAGATTGACACGTGTGACATGTGATAATCGATTTTATCAAAGGATTATTATAAATACAAAGTGACTATTCGAATTATTTGAATTTGTGAATCATTTATACTGAAGTGCGTTCGCCATAAAATGGCTAGGCAGAATATTTATCACTCTATTCCATCTCGAAGGAAAGAGAATGTTTCGTTCGCGTAACCTTCCAGTTCTGTTTGTTTACAATTCATGCTTTAATGAGCCGTGAGAGTATTCTATTACACTCTGCCTCGATCTTTCCGTTACCTCGTCCTCAGCCAACAATGATACCAAGAAAGATGGAACGAGATACACTTTGTCTTGCCATCCTCTGACGAAAACACTATGTTCGTGAATCGTATATAAACAACATTTCCCTTTAGAATCGTTTGAAACATTAAAATGATAGAACCGGGCACCAAGAGTAACAATTATTAAATTGGAACGATTCTGGTTACGATGTATAGCCTGTACAGAGCTTGGTTCGGCGATACCGTTACAGCGGACAATTATTCGCGGCTTCAAGAAAGCTTGTCGCCACCCGACACGGTGGTAAGAGTCGGGAACGAGGGCGAGCACCAGTTCGTCGCCCACAAAGGTGTTTTGGCCGCTCACAGCGGTTATCTGAAAGCTTTGCTCACGAACGCGGTGACGACACCTAATTCGGGCGTGAGTGCGAATATTAACTCGAATGTAACCGGTAACAATTTGTCGGGACAGCCAACGAGGCAGCCAGTCACATCTGTCTCGGTCTCATCCATTGGTAAATATCGTTACGTGAATTATTAATGTTCCGATTGGTCTCTCGAGTTTGTTGAAAAGGATTATATTTTGATAATTTTTGACGACGATGAAAAAAGAAAAGTGAAGTTTAGTTTTCGATAATTAAAAAGAGAACGTTGTATCTAATATCGCGATATTATTTCCCTTCCCCTGTTAAAATCGTGTTATCGTTAAATATATTCCATTTCTCAAATACCTACTTTTGTAAATAGACTGAAAGTTTCTTTGGAATAAACGAGTATAAACAAATAAAGTATCGCCAGTACAACATCAAAAGTAAACGTGATGCAACTTAACGCGGGAGCTAAAAAAAACTTTGAAAAATATTCCTCTCGCTTCGCAAAAAAATAAACAAACAAACGAATCCAAACTTGCAGGTGGTGAGGCATTCGCGCCATTGCTCAACTACATGTACACAGGCCGACTGGAAGTGACGTTGGACAACGTGTACAGCGTCTTATTGGCCACGCATTTGTTGCACATGCCAGGGGCCCTAGAACAATGCAGAGCGGCGTTGCTCAGGTTGAGGGCACCTCCGCCATTGCCAACGCCGATCCCAGTTCCGGCTGGGCCGACATCCACGTTGACGTCCACGCCACCCACCGGCAATATACTCAGACCCATACCGAGCAGATTGATGATAGATCCGACCATATGCTGGCCACCGACCGCTCCTCTATACCCACCGAGTGCACCGCCATCCGCCAGTATCGGTATACCGCACTTGTCCCAACTACAACCGTCGGTCCTCATGCAATCTACCGTCCCGCTCGGCGTCTCCGCCGTTCCGTCCTCCAGTATACAACAAACGCACACCTCGACGGTTTATAGGTTTGGATCGTTTGATTTTTTTCAAACATGCGTGTACACACTGCTCACCCACGAGAGAACATTTTGACGATACAAATGTGACGAAATAAGGATATACTCGTGCACGACGAACAATGCACGTATAATGGTTTTAAAACGTAATTTAGATTTCATAAGTTTCTAAATTCTGTCTGCGAATGAAAAGTATACAAAAAAAAGTGGCTTTCCTCACATTTTGAAATTTGAAAATTTCTGCTAACAGGGACGTGCCATCGCCAAAATCATCGCTGTTCCAAATCGAGCGGAATCGCGGGCTAAGGGTGGAATCGAGGCCAAAGTCGCCAGAGAACGTGTCATCGAGCACTCTCCCGTTCGTGGCAGCGGCAGCAGCCGCATTCAACGCGTTCACCACGTCGAACGCAGCCACGTCCACAAGAACATCGTCTCCCTGTCAATCGATCTCTCCCACACCATCGTCCACTTCACGATCATCGGTGCCTCCATGTCACAGCGGCAAAAAACCGATCGACCATCAACGAGAGACGAAGGAAGAAACTGACTACGAGCATCACGCCACCAACTCGAGTAACAGCCGAACGAACGATGCCGGATCCTCCCCTCCTCTCACACCTATGGACGACTCGACGGCTCGTAACAACAAAAACACGGAGCCGCCAATGTCGTCAGAGAACGACAGAGGAAGATCGAGGCGAAGGGGGCGCGGGTCGAACGGAAACGATGGTTCGTCGAACGTTTTGTCGGTGGTCTACGACGTGGCGTGCTGCGACGGTCCAGTGAAGTTTCATCGTGTACTGAACGAGAATTACTCATCGTCCTCGTGTGGACCTAGCGCGATGCCGCAATCTCGTTTGCAGAGACCGTGTTTCGAGGAGAACGACGGTTCCGGGGAGAACGACGAGAATGGTGGGCCAGGAGGGGGAGGCCCATGCGACCCGATCGAGGCTGGGATGGATACTGGCAACAATGGCGGAAGTTATACTTGCGGATACTGCAGGCACACGTTTAAGTCGCAGTATTGTTACAGGAAGCACACAAAGAGGCATTTGTTACCGACCAGAGTGAACGAGTCGATCGGCAACAGGCAGAGGCAGCAAGATACCAGTGCTAGGAACAGGAGAGAAGTGAGACTGTTGGACTTGAACGTGCAATATTATCCTTGCAAGATTTGCGGATGCAAGTTCCCGAGTTATTATTTCGTGCACAAACATAGGAAATTGTGCCACGCGAACACAGAGGAGAGGGCGCAGTCGGACGAGGCTAACAGTACGGTAACGGAGGATCAGGAGTCGACTACTTCGACTACGAATAATGAGAGACAGTGAGAGGAGGTTTGTGTATTGGCTTAGTTGAAGAGAAAGAGAAAGAGAGAGAGAAATTTAACGAACGATCGAACAGAATTCGTGCAGAAGTTATTAATAAGATGTGTTTAGCTATATTGAACGAAATAGAAAAATGGAAATGGATAAATAAATAGAACGATATTAAGATGATAACGTTTGTCTGAAATGATTCTCTTGATTCTTTGTGCTTTATGGAAGTAAATGGTAGATGTAATTTTTAAATAAACGATAGTGTTAAGGATTAATTAAAAGAAAGTATCTCATTCAATGAGAAAATAGATCCTTTGTGTTTTATAGAAATTAATCAGATTAGTAATATTAATTATAAATCAAAATGGAAATAAATGAATGAAGTTAGATGATATTGACGTATCGTCAATTGATTAAAATTTATTCTTATCTAAGTAAGAGAATTTCTTATGATGTGAACATTTTTAAAAAAAAGTAAAATAAAATTCTTGGTGTTAAATAAGCGAAGATATAAATAAAGTAAGTAAATTAAAAAAATAGTAATAGACAAAATCATAATGTCAATATATCAGTAATCAAAGAAGAACAATTAAAATAAATTTCATTAACTCAATTATTATGTATATATGTATGTAAATATTCGAAACCTTAATTTTTGATTTTAAAATTAAACCGATTGTTAACTCGTTAAAAATTATTTAATTGTATTATAATGTATTACATACATGTAATAATTAATAATAATAATATATATAATAAAAGGGAAGAGATAATTGATTGTTTACAATGTTTTGTTTCACTATTATCAAAAAACGAGAAGCTCGCATTCACTCTAAAGAAATTCAAATAATGAAAATATTTACGACATATAACTGAGTGTAGGTTGAAATACTTTAGAATTTGATTATAATTTGAATAAGAGGAATTAACGACATTAAAATTTCGATGATACATATAGACGATGATCTATTTCGAAATTAAAAGTTAATCCTCTAAGTTTAAAAATCTTAAGTACCTTATATCGAGAATAGCTGGATAAAAATAATTATAAATTAATATTATTTATATTATTTCACCGTATTGTGCAATATTGAAATTACGATAAAAAAAAATAAAAATTCTATCTATAATTAAATATAATTAAATAAAGAAAACAATATTAAGTTTTTGACCAATTAATATGGTTAAATGTGCTTTAATAATAACTTTACAAATGATGCGGCCAATAAAGTCACCATTAACGTAACATAAGTCAATGGCGCGTGTTAATAAATTCAAAATTTTGAAAAATTGTAAAACCAATTAATTAAAAAATAAATGAATATGTATAAAACACGCGTTCCATGCTTAAATATAAAAATTCGAGCTTCTTTCGATCAATCGTCGGATTAATTCTATTCAAACTTATTACAAATTCTACCTTTACCTTTTATTCAACCCTCTTTGAAATTTTAAATCGTTCCACTCGACACAATTCCAACTCTCCTCTATCACGAGTTCGATTAATATTATCACGACCGTGCTTTAGATTAAATACAATTTTTTCCCATTTTACAATTGTATCAAAATTAAATTTGTCCATTTCCCCTATTTTTATACCTTTAGAACGAATGTGGATAAATTTTTCTTAAGCGAAAATTTATCTTCTGCTATAACTTCATTAAAAAAAAAAAAAGATACAAGATGAAATGATGATTATTTTCACGTAATGAAATAAATTCGTTTCTTTTCAAATCATAGCATACCGATTAAAGATAAATAAAAAAAGGATAAGAAATATATAAGATACAAAATGATGTCGAAACTTGTCCCAAATTGATTAATTAATTAATTAATTAAAACGAATATATTTCTACTTCGGTTCTTCAATTCACATTACACGAGAATCACATCCACTATACAAATTTGTCTCGATTCATTTAAAAAAATGAGAAGAAAAAAATGTATCGCTTTTTATTAAGTAAAATTTTTCTCAGTCGTAGAAAAAAAAAAAAAAAAAAAGGAAAGAAAGAAATGAAAAAGAAATTTTAACAAATAAGTATTAGAAAATAAATTGTATCGCTTATCAAAGTGTCCATGATAAAATCGCGAAAATAATGTAAATAAAGCAAATTAGTAAGATTTGTTTAACAAAACTTACCAATGGTGTCCATCGATTGGGCTTCCTCGTCGCTGGTTTCCATAGGAGTGGCGTGATTATCTTTTTTCTTCTCCTTCATCCTGTTCGTAGTTACCACGCTACCACCACTGACGTTGTTCGTCTCCCTGTAACGTGATTTTTTTTTTTTTCTTCTCTTTATTACCCTTCAAATTTAACAATCCATCCTATCTATTTTCATAACGATAAATCAAGAATTAATCTTCTTATCTTTATTTGATAGAACTTGTTTTTGAATCGTTTTCATCGAAATTTTATTAATATTAAATTATTTGAATTTATTCAAAATTGTAGGAAGAACAATTCATGCAAATTCATCGAAAATTAATAATATTAATATGAAAGGAAAGATTGGTGTGAAATAAATCAACTTGACTTACAACTAGCTCGTGATAAAATTGAAATTAAGAAAATTAAAAATTTTCCATTTTCGTTAAGAAATTTAATGCACAAGCCACAATTTAATTTTATTCTTTTTTCTTTTTTGCGTGGTGGAAAAAAATTCGAAAAATTCTTTCCCGAGTTAAATTAAAAAAAAAAAAAATGTTTTTGCCCAAACCAATTTTGAGAGAATTAATAAAACGCTCTATATATCATTCCTAAACGAACGAGGGGGATCCCTCGTTCCAGTCTTCGCACGATTCGGAATCAGATTTTCAACGATCGACTCCATTTCGATGATGAATGCCTACGTAAACATAATCCACTAACCAGTAACCATTGATTAGCATTACAATCTGCTAATAACTACCCTGTCTTCCCTCTCGAACCTCCATTTTACCTTCTATTTCCCCCTATCTGCCTTCCATTCATCCCCCACCCCCCCCACCCACCACCCCTCCCACTCCTACTATCCTTCTCTCCACGCTTCAATAATTTATTCTTATTACTTTTTTTCTCTTTTATTCATTCATCATAAATTACAAACTGTTTGAATTATAAAAAAAAAAAAGTTGAAGAAAAAGTTATTAAATTATTGTAAAAATATTTGTTATATGCAAAAAAAAATTTATATTGTATTTATCTGATCTATCTCTCTCGTCTATTAATATTCTTGTTATATTAATCTGAAAATATAATTATAAAAATTTGATGTGGTGTATACTGAATTAAATTTGTTGAAATAAGTATTTCTATATACAATTTCTTCTATCTTTGTTATTAATCAAAATTATCGATTAATCAATTTTAATTTATTTATTATTTAAGAAGATTTTTCTCATAGTGATTATAAGTTTTTTGAACGAGTAATTTTTAATCTAGATTCGAACGAATAATCTCTTGGATTATTTTTTAATATTTTAAATGTAGTAATAATTAGAATGGATCGTAAAACTGATTTGTTTGCTCGATGAATATCATTAGTAAAATGAAACTCGTTCAAGTAATCGAACTGTATGCTTTTATGTCAATTGCAATTTTTAAAATGATTTTATCCTTTCTATACTTTTAATTCGACAATTTTATGTAAAAATAAGGGTCTCGAAGGAATTTGAAATTTTTTAGTGTGTTAAGAAAGAAAATTTTTGAACAAGATTACATATGAAGAATTTTATATGTATATGGAAAATTTATGAAAAAATTAATTGATTTAAACAATTAATTTAAGTTACTAATGATCATTATGTGATGATTTTTTATAGTCATTAATATAATTTTTTATTATATAACATCATTTTTTAAAATAATAAAATAAAGAAATATAACTAGTTAATCATTTGATCAAAATGAAATTCTATTTTAAGACTTATAGTACCCAAACTTTTAACTGAAGTAGAAATAGAAACAGTTATTTAATCCGATGACCGATTCTGCGTATAAATTTATAACTAAAATAGTTTGCGTCCAAAATTCTAGTTGGTCTGAACAGAAAATCAAATGTAACCCTTTTATTATATTACGAAAGAAAATCAATTAATCTCATCCTTTTTATTATAGGAAAAAAATTATATTAAAGTTCTATTTTTATATATTAATAAATATTAATGTCAAAACTATAATAATATAAAATAATGTTATAGAAATATTATAAAAAATAAATTATTGTAAAAATAAATCGTTATTGAAATTGCTTTATTAATAATTTATTAAAAATTAAAATGTTTTTGCTCTTTTTTTCTATAAATAATTTTGGATATTTTATACTATAAACAGGAAAAATTAAAAATTAAGGTTTTCAATTTTGTAAATTTCCACAAAATTATTAAAATCATTCATGCTGTATAAATTATAATATGTTGTTATCTTATTATTCAAAAGAAATGTATCTTTTTCTTGGAAAACAATATTTTTGTTTAAATACCTTTTAAAAATAATAAATATTACATGTAATTATAAATATGCAAATCTAATATGCAAAAGAAAAAGTAATATTTTTAAATAAAATTAGTTTTTTACTTTTTTTTTATTAGATTCTCTTAGAATCTTATTTAATCAGAAAATTAATGTTTTAAATATCATTAAAATTATATCTGATGATAATTAATTCACTTTGATTCTATAAATAATAACATTTTTTAAATAATTTTGCACAATTTTATATCTTGGACAGTTTTTAAATATTCAATCATCAATTTGGTACGTATAAATAATTAGAATTACTTTACCTATGTATTATATTTATTATTATACTATATATGTAAAACGGCTATATATTCGAATATTATAAATTTACTACTCGTAAAAAATTTATAAAGCCCTTGTGAATAAAATTACTATAAGTACAATTTAAAAACTAATAAAATATGCTACTTTTCTATACTGTTCCCATGAAATAATATATATATCTTTCTAGAATTTTCTACAAATCTAATTAAAAATATTTATAATTAATAGAAAAAATATATTACGTACATTTTGATGTCCTTTCCTGATACCGTTTCCGAACTTAATTGCGGCTCTTCTTTCACTTCCACTTTAATAAGATGGGTTTCTTTCGATTCTATTTTACTTTCTTTGTTTTCTTTATTTGTTTCTCTATTATCCTTCGCGCTTGTTATCGTCGATGACGTCGTGACTGACGATGTCGTAGTACTCAACACAGATGTCGTTGTAGCTGTCGTTGATGCTATTACAGAGTCTGTCGTTAAACATATACTCGACGTTGATGAACTTAAAGGAGTCGTCGAAGTGGTGACTATTGTTGTCGCAACAGCCGTTGATACACTCGACGTTGTCGTCGTCGTCGTCGTCGTTGTAGTTGATGTCGCTGCCGAACTATTTTGAGGATTTTCTTGCGTCTTCTGCTGTTGCTCACGTTGCAACCTTGTCGTAACACCCGTAGTTAAAATATCTAAAGTTCCAATACTTGAACTGGTATTATTTACCTGAAAAAAACAATATAAAAGTTAGTAATGTTATAATTTTATATCTGTCTACAATTGCAATAACTACACATTCGTAAGAGAATGGGAAATTAATATATATATATATATAGCAAGAGAACAAAAATGCGAATCTTTTTATATACGCAAGTGTTTTAAAATAGCAAGCAGAAAATAGTTGTAATTGAACTTACTTTATTATTAGGATTGTTTCGAGAGCGTGTTCGTTGCCGCGACTTTCTCAAGAGCTGCTTATAATTTTCTGCTTTTTTAGTGAGGTAGTAATGATGCACACAATCTGGAACGGACTTATGTTCTAAAGATTGAGCTATCGTTCCAAAGTTCTTAGGATGTTGTAAATATTTTTCTTTAAACAATTCGTGCTCTACAGAACTCCATACATTGATTAACTTCCGTTCACTATGAAGAGCTTCTAACTCTTCAGGCTGAAGAAGACCATTACGATTTTGAAACGCGATTCTTCTTTGCTTCGTATCCAATAATAATGGAGGTATGACTGCGTACGAACGCATCTTTTTATCTTCCATCTGGAAAAATAATTTTAAAAAATGGTACATCATACTAATTACAATTACTTATTGTGTTGAATACTCGAATAAATTTTAGATATGTATTTCTTAGATTCTTTCATGTGGATTGAAGTGAAATTATTAAATTATAAATCATAACTACTATCCACGAATCTAACATTACTAATCACTTTCAATTAATATTGGAAGATTGTTTCAAAAATGTCAAATTCAAATTATAATATCATAAAAATTAATGAAATTCTTGAAAAGTTATTACAACTAAGCTATTTTAATAATTTCTAATATTTAGTATGCCTTCTTTATAATTAAATATATACTATATATAATACCTAAATCATTTTTATAGTAATATCGATTTTTTAAATTTTTCCTTTAACTCCTCTAATAACTCTTATGAACTTCCCTTTGATTTTCTTTTTTTAGTCTCTCATATAATTAGTTTTGCAACATTATAAAATGTCGATGTTATTTATCATTAAAACGATGTACCTCTTGTTCTTGAAGGCCATCCATAATTTCTTCTAAATCAGCTTCACTCTTGATACGAGCACCAACTCTATTAAAACGTTCTTTATCTTCTCTTTGTTTCCGCAACTCTGGAAACACTTTTTCAAAAAATTCGCGATTCTTCGCTTCCTTCGACTTCCTTTTCTGCGTTGCTTCCAATCGCTCTACTTTACGATGCCACTCTTGTACCAAAATAGCGTACGTTTGTGACTGTTGTCGATGAAGAGATGCGCGTTCAGCGTGTTCTCGTCGAAGCCTCGCTATAAGCCTTGCTCTCATACACGTTTGATGTTTTGTTCGATTTTCTTGATATACACTTGTATCTGATGGCTGATTGTACAAAGGTAGTTCCACTTTTGGACCCAGTCTCTCTAGGAGTCTATGAGCCTCTTCTGCCTTTCTCTGCAATTAATATATAAGCGTCATTAAGATGTATTATTATTTATAATATTGCGTATGATTTAAAATGTTTAACTAATATTGATGACGCGTCATATATACATTGAAAAATTCTAATATTATCGGCAATCAAAAAGTCAAAAGAAAGTCAAGAGATAACATCAAGCAAAAATATGTAAAAATTAAAACATAAAAATACAGATTAACTTGAATCACAGTTAAAGCTGTTGAGACTTATATTTTATCTAAATCATTTCTAAATTAAAAATGTGTTCAGTAAAAAACAATTTTTCTTTTTTTTTTTTCTTTAAATATATTATTATAAATTTATGACGAATCATTCCATTTTAATCAATATCCGGAGAATTCATATCCGGTAATGAATTAACTCATCTTTTTGTGTATAATTTATGTATAGTTAATTCAAATTAGATATAAAATTTACAAGATCTTACCCTATTTTCAGCATAAATTTTTTGTGCCAGAGATTGATGCTTTGGTTGCTGAGATTGTTCCTCAACTTGCCGTTTAAGACCGCTGGCTTCTAGAGGTTTATTAGCCGCTTCTTCCAATTCTTTTAATTTTTTCCGAAGCTTATTTATCTGAGATTCCCTTTTTGCAATCTCCCTATCAACCTTAGAAATTTGTTGCAGAAGATCATCTTTCGTGCTTCTGAACTGTGCATCTTCTTGTGTGTTTGGTTCCGGAAGCGTAGGCGAAATCGCTTCAGTTTGCGGTGTATATGCTTCTGTTGCCGGCTGCTCCTAGCAAAAATTTTTCATATAACACTGTATCAAACTAATATTAGAATCACGAATAATAGAAATCTTTATTAATTATCAATACAAGTGTATACGCTTTAAATATATAATATATGTTATTATTATTATTTTTCTTAAAGTTTAGGAATGCAAAAAATTATTGACATAAGTAAGTGTATAAAGTAATAATTAACGTTAGATAGTTACATCTGTTTCCAATAATAAAATTCATTTGATAACTTTCTTTTCAAAGTTATTTCTAAAACAATGTGTTACATGTCAAAAATTTTTTCTGAATCATTTATTCTGAATCATCTTCTATACGCGTGTACCTATGTACCCACCCTAGTATCTATCCTAAGCGGTTGCTGCAACTGTACCACGTGCTCCTGCTTAACACACGGGTCAGCGGGTGACAAACTATGACAACGAGATTGCGTTTGGGACTGCAATTGAATCTGGGTCGGTTGACTGAGGCGTATCTTCTTGAAGGGCGGCGCCTCCTGCAGATTAGCCATTTCAACGGCTGTACGATTGCAATACTGATCCGGCTGGACGGGCATCAGGGCTATTCGTGAATTTCTAACTCCAGACATGTTATGCTGATAGCCTGGTGCTGTTGGTGAAGGTGTCGGCGTCACCGAAGCAGGTGGTAAAAGAGATATCCTCGGTCTCTCCCCTCTTCCACTACTTATACCGCTATTCGCCGCATATTCGGCTGCAACTACTCCAACATCGACTCCAATCTGCGACAAGGGACTACTGCTCACGCTGATGGCGATCCTCTCGTTCACCTAAAAGATACTACAATAAAAATCTATCCTTTCTTTTTACATTCATTTTATGTGTTATATTTCTCTATTCTATTTTTAATCCCGTTTGATTCAAATATATTTATGTGTTCTAATGCTTTTTTCATCGTGCGTTTTATTCAATTTATCTTGCCTAACCTTCTCTTGTAAACCTATTTCAAGAAAATCGATGACCCGGTTCAAGAGGGCAGACGGTAGACTATCTATATACCTACAAACCGTCATACGTTCCTTGCACTCGTATTATGAATAAAGCTTGCCGTTAGTTTTTTCATCTTTCTTTCTCTCGCCCCTTACTACTCGTCTTGCTTACATTGCATCTTAAGATTATATCTTGCACCCAAACAGATAACATATATGACTTCTTACCGACTGCTGTTCATCAAATTCTAATAACAACGTATATATATTGAATATTATTCACTTCAAAAAAGATAATTGATAAAATATTGAATATGTAAATAAATTAAATCATCAGAAATAATGAGTAAAAATTTTCAATAAAATAAAATTTGAATATCATTTTATCACTTCTCTTGGAATCATATTTCTCTTTTTTCTATATCATAAAAATGATAAAAAATATTACCATTTAAATAAATAATAGATTATATTATGTATCTTTACATTATTATATATTTTTAAAATGTAATTTCATCAATTGAAAAAATCGAATGAAATTAGAAATTATATAACAATATAAATATTTATTATATAATACATATCTCTAATATTAGGATTAATTGTTAAAAATAAATAAAACAAAATTTTTAATAGAAATATTTAAAAAACTATCCCATCAGATTTCTGAATTTTTATATCGCAGTGATTGATTCAAAACTGCAAAAGGTTTGCAATAGAGAAAGTAGATTATATTATGATATGAAAAGAGAACGGGAGAGGGCTAATAGTGGTTGAAAGTCAAGGGCAGAACACATACAATATATACACATTTCATATAACGCGTACCAAATATTCGATTAACTTCAAAAGATTACTATATAATATACATTTACAAACACTGGCTACTCATATGTATATGTATTACATTAATGTGTTTTAACTTTCTCTGAAATATATAGTCGGTGTAGAAAAATATTTCTACAGCGATTTAAATAAAATTTTATATATCTATATTTATAATAAATTTTAACAAAAAAGAAAAAGAATTCCATAATAAATGTTTTTAGATGTTTAAAGAACTCGTTATACTCGTTCTTAATATTTACAAGAAATATCAACAAAAGCAGAGAATGGAATGGAAAAATAAACGCGTAGAAAGTATTCGTATTTTCAAGAAATAAAAAATCATGAAAATAAACTAAATATTTAATATTTTATATATAAAGTTTTATTTTAAATAATTTTTGTATGAATATTTTCCACGATGATTTTTATTTTTCTATGTATGATTTTTATGAAATGAAAGCAAGAGAGAGTACGAGTGGGTGAGGATGATGACGATTTATCATGGGATAAATCGAAGAGGAAAATACCTACATTCGTGGTGGCGCTGCGATATGCGTCTCTCGCGGCATAAGCAGTTCCCGAAAGCGATGGTGGTGGCGTTTGACTAACTGTAGGTGGATTGGCAGGCGCAGCTGCGGGTGCTGGAACTGGCACTGGAGTCGGTGCCGACGAGGCTGAGGTAACCATTGTCGCTACAGCCGGCACCGATGCCGACGTTGGCGTCGATGGATACGGATGGATGTACCGCAGACCACCAGCCATGGGTACAGCAACATAACCCCCTGGTGCACTACCCACTGTACCACCGTTTCCACCACTGTTGCTCCCCGCACCGGCACTGTTATTGGTACCGTTGTTGTTACCATTTCCGACTGATGCTACGTTCCAACCGCACCGGCACCAGCTCCAGTCCCAACCACTCCGGTTCCACTGTTCGCGCCACCAGCGTTGTTGACACCACCGCCACCTCCTCCGCTACCGCCACCGCCTCCACCGATTGAAGGACCTCCGCCACTTCCACTTCCGGTTGTCCCCGCCGCCGCCGCCGAAGATGCAGCCGCACCACCCTGCACATACGTCACTCCTGCTCCTATCGTTCTTGGAGACACAGGACTGCTGCTCTTGATGTTTACATAACTTTGCGCCGGCCTGCAACGTTCGAAATGTACACTATGTTAGTTTCGATCGTTAAGAAAAGATTTAATTTTAATTTAATAATAATTAAATTTAAATTAAAATACGAATAAGAATATTCTTGTAATTTTATAGTGATTTTTATATTTCAAAATATATATTTATAATTTGAAAATTATCGTAAAGAGAAAAAGTGTGCATTTATTAATATATATGCGTGCATAGAATATGAAAAGTATTTATACAACTTTATTTTTTTATTTAATTATAATAATTAAGTTGATAAAATTTCATAATATCATTTAAAAATATTTTTATACAAAAATTTAACAAATAAATATCTAATAAGCGTGAATAAATATTTATTAAATATGTAAAATTTAGACATACGATATGTTTTTGCAGTATTTCGAATTATCAAATATGTTTACATCACGAAATATATTTTTAGAATCATTCAATTTTTATCATTTTTAGAAATGATAATTTTAAATTATTATTTTTTTAATTTTAAATTATTACGATATTATGTTTCTAATGTGAATATTTATAATTTATATTTCTTTTAGGAAAATTCCATTAGATAATCCATACAATGGTAACGGTTTTCTTAGGTCATTTCTTAATATATCATACTATAGATTATACTATGACTATACTATGTTATAATATATATCCGGTATAATTAAGATATTCTTATTATTTTTATATATGATACTTGATATAGCAAAATAAGCAAACATATAAAATAAAAAAATGAAAAGTTAGTAGTTTACTATAAAAAGAAGCGATTTAGGAATATTTTTTAAAGAGTATTAAATTTCTCTCTCATAATATGTTCAACCATGGCAAAGACACGGCTTCTACTTATACGTTCAAGACAGCAATATTTGTGCAACGTAGACAGTAATTTAATTATTCATATACCATTTTAAACATGAAGTCTATCAAGAGTCATATGATTTTTAATATCACTGGTTCCATCACACATTATGAATATATTAGTTTAGAATATGTAAACCAAATATGAATCAGGCAATTGAAAATTAAATTGTATTAAAAATATCGACATTTGTGATAATTTATACTATTTTAAAATTTACCAATTTATGCTGAAATGATATTTTTCATTTGCTTTTAATCATTCAAAACAAATTAAAGTGATTAATAAATTATATCAATAATATTAAATTACTTAACAATCTTTTAATCTAAAAATTATTACCAAATTAAATATATATATATATATATATATTAAAAAGAAGTATATTTTGCATGAAAAAAAAATAAAAAAAATACTAATAGATTATAAAAAGATAGCAAGAAATATAAATGCATATAAAAGATGACGGATGACGATCAGCTAACCAATCGCGTCACGCGATAAAAATATACTTCACGTAAAATCATTGACTATACATATGTATAGCAGAATAGTAGATACACGACCTTTCGGCGGTAATTTGTCACATGTGGCAAAATACGCCACGCATGCGCTGTAAGATATAACGATATGCGATGTCGCAGTGTTCCAGAGATCATGGTTCCGCGTGCCGGTGCATCGGTACTTATTCTCTGTAGAATGACTGCGCATGCGTTGAACATCACAAAGGGTGAATGTGCCTGTCTACTTTCGTAAGGCAACGTTGCTGTCGCGACGTTGCCATATCGTCAAATACATTCGAGGCTTTCGAAGCGTTCCTAGCATTATTCGTTGGCGGATAATGGAGAAGGATTAATCGACGTTAGTTAATATCGCATTTATCTATACATATTTTTTTTATCGAAATTCAAATTATTTTATATGTAATTATTTCAAATTTTATTTTTCAAAATTAAGAATCCTAATATATATTATATAAAGCATTTATTATAAAATTACATTATGTAGTATAAAGTTATTTTATATAAAAATTACAAATTAGATTTTTTAATATTTTATTAGATTTATTAAATTTGAAATTTTCCAAATATATTAATAAATATATAATACAAATATTTTATTATATATAAAAAAATATTTAATATTATTTATATTCATATATTTAATAACTTATTGATTTTCATTATAATTATAATATTATTAATATTTTAATATTATTATAATTCATTATAATTTTATTTTACTACGAATTATTATACTTTAAATATCTGTTTCAAATAATTTTCTATTAAAAAAATTTTTAAATTTCTTATTGATTAATTATTTTGATATAATATGACAATTGTTTATATTATAGTATATAATGTGACATTGAATCTTTTGAACTATATACCAAAACAAATAACGGTACATATATTCTCCTTTTCAAAACTATATTTTAGGGTATTTTGTAGAAACCCTTAAATATTATCAGAAATATAAATAGTTTTAATAATTGTCATTCATATATTTAAGAAGAATTAAATTAGTGAAACTAGCAGAATATTATATTAATAAAAAATATATATTATAAAAATGTCTACTATCATTATACTATTATATATGAAAAATATTATTCCTTCTAATAAATTGTTCAAATTTAAATTATTATATCTTTCTCGCATTTAAAACTATATTCATAATTAAATGGCGACTTTATGAATTTTCCTAGACTGAGTTCTCGATGATGTAACGGTCACTGACCCCCCTCCTCCCACTTTTAAAATCTTCTCCCACCCATGTATTACCTACTCTTTTTCCCTTTTATGAATGATGCGCATGCGATAGAACGTTATGTACATGAAATATACATATATACGTAGGTCACGAAGAGAATGATAACATGACATGCACAAGTTACATGTACAAATCTATATAGATTAATGATGATGAATTTAATACGTGTATTGAGGTGAGAAAAATAACAAAATTCGAAAATAAGTAAAAGTGTGCATTAATGTAGAATTTTTAAATTCTAAATTCTGTAATTAAATAATAAAAATATAAGTTAATTTTAATATTATTTTTATTTATGTTAAAAATAATATAAATTTGCCATTAAAAAAAGATCATAACATTGAAATAGATTATAATAAAAATAATATGAAAGCTTGATAATATGAAATATAAGTATATTAATATAAATAAAATATAAATATAAATGAATGTGTCTAAAATAAAAAAATTGTAAGAAAGATCTACAAATATATCTTAGATACATTAAAATAAGATAGAAATTAATCTCTTTTGTTAGTGGCATATATTTTTATATCAAACAAAATTAAATTTTATCATAAAGTAACAATATAAATAAAAGGAATTGCACTTGTGATAATAAAACCTTTCAATACTTATTAATTTTATCATATTTATAAAACTGACTAAATGATATATTCAATGAAATGAACAATAAAAAAAAAGATAATTAATTACTTTTGTAATAAAATATACTAATTCATTCATTCAAATTTATTAAACTTAAAAATTATTTATGAGATAAATTTTAAATAATTAAATGTTGAATTTAAAAAAATGTGTTTTTTATTCTCTTCTAATTGAGAATTGTAGAAAATATAACCTTGACTTCCTTCCACCAATTCTATTTTTCTTTCTTTCTTTTCTTTCTCTTCATTAATGCTCTGATTCTTCACTTAGTATTTTCTATTTAAAACTGTACTTATTTCAATTATTTTTTAATTATAATTATAGATTTTATAAAGATATTTTTAAAATATGTAAATTTTAGATAACAAATACTTATGAATGATATTGATAAAACTTTATTGAATTTAAATGATTGAAAACACACTGACAGGTAATATTTAAAATTAATATTATGAAAATTTTAACTATAAATTTAAGTGAGATACATATTAATACGTTCTTTTTTTTTAACCTATTCAAATAAAAAAGGTGCATTTCCGCTATGACCGCCATCTTTTATCCCCACCGTACGACCCACTATTAGCTTTCTCTTTCCCCGTTCAACAAGTTTCTGCATTTATTGCCATTTTTCAGTAATTCAATATAATACAAAATAATAATGTAATATTAAGTATGAAAATATGTTATATTTTTTAACTTGTTACTTTATTCATTTAATAATGAAAATATATTGAATAAAATAATCTTTTATTCAAATTTTATTCAATATATATAATATAAAGTATTTTAATAAAATATAAAAAACAAAAATCATTTTAAAAACAAATTATAATAAAAATGATATTTAATTTTATTCTATTTTTATTCCTTACACAAGTTTTACTTAGTTAATGATCAGATTCATAATTCATAAATATATAGTATATGTACATACATGTATATATACATCTATACTGTGTATATGAACGTATTTATGTGTGTGTATATATATATATATATATGTCATGTATTGTTTCATATATACAGTATTTCATATATACAGTATACATACTGTTGCTTCATGTTTTTCGATTCATTTATACAACCTCACATCGCACCTAACCTAACTGGTTTTCCCGCGTTTTATATATTATTTATACGTATCCTCCTGACTACTGTATATTAAATTTCTGAAGCGTTAATTAATGTTAATTCATAGAATTTTATTTGAAAATAATAAAAATTCCGATTATGTTGAATGAAATAAAATATTAAAATTTTTATATTAGAAGAAAATGAGAAGTCATTCAGTAAACAAAATATTTTGCAATAATTTTTTATATAAAACTTATAATAATTATATCATTAAAATCATTTATCATGTAATTAATATTATAGTAAAAAAATATATAATGTATTAATACAAAAGTAAGTTATATAAATAAAAAAATAACGTAAAGATAATTTGTGCGAGGAACAACGAACACCGCAACAGAAATAACTGCGTGGACTTACTTCATCATGCAAACGGACAATCTTGAGTTTCAAAGAAATCTTTCCTTTCTGCATACATTCTCCATTTGCACATCTGGTACATCGCGTTTTCGAAATTTGTAGTTTCACTTTAATAATTTCATTAAAATACACTACACAACCGTTCATATATATATTTCAGTAAACTATAAGTCTTAAATGTAAACCTGGCAAGGTTAAAAATCAACGTTGCACGTTGACGTTTGAGGTTAGAATCGACAGGTAGCAGTAGTGGTAAAATTGGAAGAACGCATGCGCAGTATACCGAATATATGTTACGCATCCAACTTCAATGTTCTCTTCACCGCGTATTTCAAGTTTTAATATTTGAGTTTATATATATATTACAAATATATTACAAATAATTAATGTTATGTATTATTGAATTTTTAAACAATAAAAATATTAAAGTAATAAATAGTTTGAATGGAAAGATTAATGAAAAATTTATTTCAATATTTTTTTCATTGTAAAAATTGAATTTTTTTCAAATTTATATTTTTTTTAGTTTTTTTAGATTTTATTTAATTTTTTAAATTTAATCAATTTTTAAAAATATCTATATCCGCATGTGTTATTTGTAAATTTTAATAAATTATATTTCATTACTATTTTATATATTATTTTATTTTCAAGAATATTATAGCAAAGAAAAATTTAAACAAATTGTAATACGTAAAATTTAATTGTTTATTTAGAATTTACTATCTTTATTAGATTTGAAATTTGAAATATTCCAATTATTTGTACATTTTCCACCATCAAGATTTCCATAATTTCCACAATTTCCATAAATATATCTTGTTTCATAATTTTCATTCAGTATTTGTTATGAGTTTCATATTATATAATATTATAATGATTTAACAATTTTATTATTATAATTAGCTTTTAATTATCATATTTTGTCTTTTAAAAAATTTTTGTTTAAATCAACAATTAAAAAGAAATAATTTTTTGAATCGAAATTGCTCAATTCTGTCTACTAATATATTTCTTATACTATTTCTTATACTTCGCTTATACTATAGAGGCATTTCCTCAAATTAGAGAAAACGAATTAAATCATTTTTTGCAGACAATCAAATGCATGCATATAAGTTATAATTAATTATATCGTACAAATTACGCATGAACACTGTTATGTGTAATGACTGGGACGATAGTAATACATACATTTATGTATTATATGTACATTATCTGTATTATATGTATGGATACATACATATAGGTAAACACAGGCAAGAATATAACTTACCTATGCAGCTGTACCGGAGTAGACCTCGCGGGTAAATGCTGGTTATGCGAGACCGGTGGTTGTGTCTGACCCCTGCCAGGGGTCGACGTTACACCGACCAGTGAGTGGCCATGGGGTCCGTGAGGATGACCGTGGGGGTGGGCATGTGGGTGTGGAGGATGGGAGTGGGGGTGAGGATGATGATGGTGATGCAAATCTGCCCCCACTGGACCCACAGGGCCCACCGGACCCCCCACCCCCAGTCCGCTTACTACCTGGACTTGCTTGCTCACTGTCTCCATCACTCCTAGCGCATTGTGTACTGAAACAAAATCCATAAAAATTCATTAAAAATGTTGTTTTTATTCATTTCTTTTCTAATTTTTTTTTTTAATTAATTGCTTCTAATCATTAAAATATTTTATGAGAATTTATTTAATTAAATTGATAAAACACAATAGAAATAGAAATGTAAATTGCAAAAAAATATTCAATACATAATATAATGAGAAATGAAAAAAAAAAATCTAGACAAATTTTTAGATTCTTTGTGCATTAAATTTTATATACCGATGTATTGTTTTATCTTTCTTCTTAACAATTTTTTGCTTTAATCAAATATTTCTTCGCATACGTTTGAATTATTTATATTTCCACATATTAACAAAAAAGATATTAAAATTTTAATAATAATAATATTAACGAATACAACAATATTATTAATTTGTGACAAATATATAAATATTATAGATATTGAAAAAAAATATATATATATGTATTTTAATTTATAATTATTCTATTTTTATTAATATTTATGCATATAAAAATAAAATTAAATTTCTTCAACATTTCAATCAATGATTATCAAGATTTATCATAGAAATTCAAAATATCATTAAATGTTATCAGTCTTGAAATATCTGCAAAACAATCTTCTCTATCCATTCCATACTTGAAAATTGACAAAAATAATTAAATAATCTGTAATTTTAATTATATCGGTGAAATTAGTTTTTAAACTTGTACAAAATTTCTAAAAATTCAATAATCATATAATAATCCTAATCAATAATTACGATATATGTAACATAATGATAAAAAAATGTTTCAATTTGATACAATCAATGATAATATTCGTTTGCAATAAAATTTAATAAAATTTTTTAATATATTTTTCTTATTTTTTTAATCCATTGCTATTAGTAAAGCACATCGAGAACAGATGAAAAGAAAGGTCATGAGAATGTTACACATTAGAAAGTACATGATAATGTACATTAAGCAAGACACAATGCCATCGGATTTATAATGGGAAATATTGTAGTCACCATTTTTATTTAAATTTTGAATAGTATTTAATAAATTATATATTGTTGTATATTTTGCGAAAAAAATCCAGCATATTCCTATTATTTAATTCCATATTTTAGAATAAATATTTCTAATTTATCGAAAAAAAATTTTTCATAATAAACTCAACAAGCGAATATAATAATATTTTTTTTAATAAATCATAATTCATTATTTTTATAATTTTTTTTTCACAATAAATATACTTAATTAATATTATAAACAACATTTCATATATATTATTCATCAAATTATAAAAATATATATGTATGATTATTTCTTGAGTTTATAATATTTCTTTGAACAGGTGTTATAAGAATCAACTATTAAAAGAATAAATTAGTTTCCTTTTTTCTCATATTCCTTTCCTTTCAATTTTTTTTATCCTTGCTTATTTTTAATATTTTAATTCTTATAAAATATTCACGAATAATTCGACCAAAATTTAATATTATACATTACATAATATTATAGTAACATTGTTTAAAATATTACATGTTATTTCATGTTATTTAAAAGAAGATATATTAAAAATGTAAAAAGTCTTGGATTAAATTTAATTCTCAGGTAAACTGACGTAAAAAAAACGTCTGTTCATTCGAGAACTTGAATAACACCGCTGATTCACTATGATGCGTCATGTTAAAGACGATTAACAAAGTGTAAATAATTTATATAGACGTGAATGTCACATTTGCACGTGAAATAAATGAAAATCGGCATTAACCCGTGATCACAGTAACGCGATTCTTAAAAAAGACGAAGAGAAGTTCGCAAGGACATGAAAACGGTCGGCATCATCAAAGTAACGGTACTTTAATGATACTCAAAGAAACCGACGTGTGTATACATGCATATCTACACTATATAGCGAGAACAGATATATTAAAGGATATATTACTTTGAGGCGTTTAAAAAATAACTAAAATCACGAAATTCTTTTTTTTCACACGAAATTAATGAAATAAAACTTCAAATTTATTCGGTTGATATTGAAATGATATTTATCTTATCTTTCCAATCTTTTTAAAATAAAAATGTTAGCAAATACCAAGATATTTATTATGTTTGAAACTTTCTTTTGAACGTTTCAAACTGTTACATTTTTAACAATATCATGTAAAAATATTTTAAATACTTTATATAATATCTAAAATTTCTCAGTTTTTTTCTATGATAAAGTTTCCAAAAATATTAAAATGTCCATATATTGTTGTAATATAGTATTTTTAGATGATTTTTTTATAAATTAATGAAATAATTTAAATAATAGATTCTAATATTTTTAATTAAATTTAAGCATATAGTATTTTTGGTTCAAATGAAATTTTACTTTTTAATATCTTAATTGTTATTTTTTTTTATTGTTATTGAAGAAATTTTATTATTTTGTATCAATTATTTGAATAACCTATTTGTAATAAAGTAAAAATGTTGAAAATAATTTATAATGAATATACAACTTATGCATTCTCATTTATTCTCATTGTAATAATGAGAATTAATAATTAATATTCCTTGGAAAATCAAACAAAAATAGCAAGGCAATTCGAAAAATCGTATTTCTACTAAATTTATTATGTTAATTCTTATGCATATAATCTTTATGAAATTCTAATATACAAATTTTATTATGGAACAATTTTAAAATTTAATAAAGATATTTATTACAAAATAATATAAGTAAAAACTATAAAAAAAAATAAAAAATGTTTAAAATTTTAAAAATTTCCAATTCGATTAATTTATTAAAAATTTATTAGACTATTTTAAAATAAAAATTATAGAATTAAATTTCTTGATATTTTTGTAATAAATTTTCCTAATTATTATTACATTATTAGATGTACTCAATATTTCACAGATAATTTTGTAATTATTTTCAAAAAATTCTATATATTCTTTCATAAATTATTATATATTATATATTTATTATATATTATTATATATTATATATTTTAATTATTAACAAGTATATAATAAATATAAGAAATGGAAAAATTTATTTTATCATACTTAATTAATTTAACTGCGTGTCATGCAAAATAAATTACAAACATTAATAAAAGTAACAAAAAATGGTAATTATCATATACCACTAACATCAAATGTTTTACTTATATTTTTCATATTTATCCTCATTTATCCATAATTTATTCACATAAAATAATGCAAAAACTTTTTCTTCATTAAAAAATATCGGATAAAACCATTTAATTTTTTATTTGTTACTCTTAAAAATCTAAACAATCTTTTAATATATAATTTTATATAATATTTTATAATATAATTTTATATATATCTATATAAACTTTATATAGGTATATAGGTATGTTAATAAATCTTGTTAAGTCTCTTTCTCACTATAATCTCTTTCTTGTTCTTTGATCTCTTCATATGAAACTATTATGCTTTTATTCAATCATTAATAAAAGTAACGTGCTTGTTACATAGGAAACTACCATAATATCGTACTTAATGAATTTTTGCAAAGTAATCTACAATTGCACAATAGAAATGTTAAAAAAAAAAACATCAGGAAATCAATTAGAAATAAAATTTTTTCAAAAAAATATTTATATAGAAAATAAATATACATATACATATATCAAATGGAAGAAATATTTCTTTCTAAATCATCAATTCAAAATATTTTTTCAAAAATATATTATATTTTTTTTATCACACATATCATTAAAAATTAATCCATAATTAAATCCATATTTATAATAGATTGCACATTTAGAAATAAAATATTTTAAGAATATATGTATATAATTATTTGTAATACATATATATATATATATATATATATATATATAT